ATTCAAAATGAGTTTACCCAATTGAAAGTAATGCATAGGTTCATAATGCATAGGTCAAGTTCCTGCATTTTGTAGTTAGTTTTATTTCTATGCACATTCCAGCATCATTTTTGAAGGACTTTATAGCCTGAGTATTATTATTATTTGAGCCTACTTTTATATTTTGTTTTCTAATCTGTGCCATGTCTAGGCCAGGAATCACAGGAAGGAAATAAACCATATTTTTAAGTGAGCCAGTCTAGAGAAAAAACAACAAAACAATTATAATGAACCTTTAAAATGATCATGAAACACAGTCATGGGAGGCAAGGGTTAGAGCTGGGTTACCTAGTTTTAACATTTAAAACTTGATTTAATAACATCTGTCTAACTAGTTCCTCGCACTCAAAACAGTTTGGTTCTATTGCTAACATATATTTTATACATGCATACATATCTTTGGCCTCTGTCACATCTTTACATCAGCGTTTTCAGACAGAAAAGTTACAATGAGAAATCACAAATTACCTCCCAACCTAAAGCGTAAAATAGTGACTCACAGGGGCTTTTCTTTCAAGTATATATCATGCTTTCAAATTAGATGAGGACGCCATGTTGTTTTGTTGCTGTTACGTTTACAAGATTCTTTCTGTTGGGACAAACAGAAAATATTCTTTATGAAAAAATGGAGGTACCCCAGCTTCAAACAAGCCCTCGTTCACTGGTACCTATGATAACGATTTGAGCTGATCTGATCTGAGGCTATAGCAGCAGTTCAAAAAACACACATCACGACTGTATATTCAGCTTGTGAACCCCCTCCTCCATTCTTGCTCCTGTGTTAAATATATCTGATGTCGTCTTTAGGTTGGCCCTGCTCTGGGGTTTAGCTGCTGAGCATGCTGCCCCAAGCTCCGCCCACAACCAGCAGTTTGAACCTGGTGACCTCCGAAGTGCCCATCGACGTCTCAGACCACGGGATCGACATGGCCGACCTGGTGGAGAGTCTGGACGCGGGAGAACTGGACTTTGAAGATGGGGAAGAGACAGATTATGATGGGAACACCCTAGGTAATAGCTCTTTGTTCTTGTGGCCGTATTACGTGCACGTGAAAAGACTCATCCTGTCAGATCTCAGAAGCTAAGCTGGGCAAGGCCTGGTTAGTACTGGGATGTGAGACCTCTGGGAGGTGCTTCAGTGTGGGGGCTGCGGCTGTAAAGAGCTGAACTGTCACCCACATTGCCCTGTTTAAGGGTTAAGGTTAAAGTTAAGTTACACTTAACATTTATCCACATAGTGCAATTCGTCTTCTGCATTTGACCCATGCTGCAATGCCACTAGAGCAGTCTTAGCGGTAGTACAACACCCAGATGCCCATCTTTTTTTATTTTTTTATTTGATAGGGACACAATCAACATGTGAAACACTACAACATTTATAGCCAAAGCTAATTTGGAATGTCCGTCCTTCTTCACAAAAATTAAAAACACATTTTACATTAATGCTCACACAATTGGTTAGTTGAAAAAAAATATGTTTCAGTTCGTGTTTTGTCTCAATTTATGTTTAAAGAAGCTATACCCGATTTATTTTCTAATAAGTTCATAAAAATGCTTATTACTACGTACAAGTTGATTACAAAATTGAAAACTTGAGCTCATTGATTCAGCTTTTTATGAATTCAGGCCGTAAAAAGTGCTGGGTAGAGACTTAGCGTGACGCCAGCTCTCCTCCAATCACAGCGTCCTTTAGCCTCTACAGCGCTGCTAAACACAGTAACTTGTCAGCAGAAAGTGGCTATAATTCCTCTGTCTCTAACTGCACACACAGCAAAACAGCCCAAACGACGAAACAGTGAGGAAGAGAAGAGGGAACTAAAGCAACAAAATTTATCAAAGAAGAAATCAAGCCCGGGTGAACATAGCTAGCTTTCATCTTATCCTCTGGAGACACTTACAGTCTATGGGAGAGACCTGCGGGACCACCTCGGACCACATTCAAACGCGAAACTAGCAGTAATCTTTCAGTTATATATATTTTGTTAGCAGTGCGTTGCTTTTGTACCATTTCATCAGTGATTGTACGGCTTACAAGAATTTGTGCTCATGCTAATGTTTACATACTGTATAACTTAATGTAATGTAATGGAACGGTCCCACTTCAGATTCATTATGTAATATCTTTGCCCCTTGTCTATAGTATGGGTGCAACTCTATGGTATCTGAGAGTAGTTTTGTAGTAAATGTGCTACACCACTTCATACATTTCATCAGGTTAATCAAGTTAGTCATTTCTGAACAAAATCCTTCCACGTGCCTCACATTCCTTCCAAAGATACAACCTCCGCTCTCCTTTGCTGCCAAACCAACTCCTACATGTACAAATCACATACGGATTATCCTTCTAACTACGTTTCCTCTGTTACCAGGGGACAGTCGCATTCCTTTCTCTGCCATTTACGCCTTAGTGGGATTCAAAGAGGCCAACGCCAAAGTGTACGTGCCGGCGGTGCCCATCACGGCTCGCATCCTGGAGGTGGAACGCTTCACTGCAGCACAGGACCGCTTCAACGCATCCAACCAGCGCAGTGTCAACAAGGTCTACTATATTACACTTATTTGATTTCATTACTGTTATTATTATTATTATTATTATTAGTATTTTTATTATTATTATTAAGATTAACATTAATACATCCTTTAATCGTCCCACAGCGGGGAAATTTCAGTTATTACTACTGTTGTTATTATTCTTATCATTATTATTATTATTATTATTATTATTATTATTATCCTTGAAAGTTAAGGTGTTATAATCTTCCATTTTTACCCTAATAATCTAGTTTAGCGTTGCAATCCAATCCACTGTTGCATCCAAACTCATAAAACACCTCCGTTCTTATCAATTCTCTTTCAATAAGAACAAAAACATCAAAAGCAGACAAAAGGAACTTTCTTATCCTTTAAATAGATATTTATGAGAGCGGGTATCTCCAGCTTTGATCAAGTTAAATAGAAGACACTGCCTTTTTGGTCAAATCCAGATTTATCTTTTGCCTCTTTTTATTTTAAAATGTAGAATACTGGGTGGATTCTGCAGGGCAACACAGGCATTTTAGCACTATTGGATACAAAGTCCACACCATGCTACTATGAGATGCTCGAAACGTCATTTACTGTACTGCAAAGGGGATGGAGCAAAGAATTGAAAATGTTCAAAGCCAGTTTTTTTTACAATTTCAGAAATATTGAGATTTACACTAATCAAACATATTTAGCAAAACATTAGAAGCAGTCAAAAATAAATTGCATACACGTTTTATTTAAACAACATGCATTTCCTCATTCACAAAACTCAAGGCTTCTGTGCATATAATGATTAACTACAGTAATGTCCATCATAATAACAAATCCCTAACTGTATGTGCCAATGTTAGCGATACATCTAGTTTTCCAGCAAAAACATTCAGAACTCCTGTGTTCCTGACCGCTGCTGCATTTGTGATCTCTTTCAGTCGTTACCTGCGGTGTTTAAAATCGAGCTCCGGCACGGGGAGTTCACATGGGTGGTGAAGAGGAAAGAGAAACATTTCATGGAGCTTCACCGCGAGCTCCGGACGTACAAGACCTTCATGCGGATCCCTCTGCCTTCCAGAAGGTACATCACCAAGCTACACTCAAATTAAAAGTCTTAATTGTTTAATCAGATACTATGGTCCCAGCTGGATTCTTCTACATATCTGGCAACCTGACTCAAGGAGAGTGCAGTACCACTTTTGGAAATATTTTTACATACTGCTCCTTTAAAACACACTGATACTCAGGATTCAAGATAGTCCTCCATTTCTGAAAAAAAAAAAAAAATCTCTGGAACAATTTAAATTACTCATCAGCTTTTTCAATAACTATCACTTTTTCTCATTTGATTTTTTTTACGTTCAGCAAGATTGACATAGTCCAATAGAATGTGTCGTTAGCCCCAAAACTAAATGATGAATGGCTACAATAAAGCTAATGAACATGTGACTTGATGAAATTCCAAGTTATCTTTTTTACGACTGAGGAACTTAGGAACTCCCATTTGAAATTGTTTTATAGTGGAATCATCACGCTCATAATCTTTCCCTTGAAATCTAATCTTGAACTGTTGAACTTTTGGTCAATTTAACTCCCTTATTTGGATTTGATTAGATTTCTTGTACTATAGACAGTCCAATCCCTCTGAATAACATAAAACGTAGCAGTTGCCGTATGAACTACTTGACATAAAATTTCTGTGGTATGGCTCGAAGACAAAATGTTTACTTTATCAGAAAACTGTTATTATTTTTTGCTCACTGTTTGACTCTTTGGGCTGAGTGATGCTGGTCCTCTCTGTTTCACTTTTCTGTCCGAAAAGGCTCATCCAAAGGGTCCCACCTTTGGCCGAGGCCGAAAAACACATGAAAACTAGTGAAAGACCCAAGCCATGGCACGGCAAGTTTATTTGTATAGGACAGTTCATACACAAGGCAACTCAATGTACTTAAAAACATGATAGAAACAATCATACACGGCATTAAAATAATACATAGTCATTAAAAAGAGTGAAGATACTATCCTTTTCCTTTTTTTTTACCTTAATTTTTTTTACCTGGATTTGAACAATATCTGTCTCACATTTTCAGGAAGACTGTTCTAGATTTTACCTACATAAATCTGTAACGCCATGTTTAGTCCTGACTCTGGGCACCTGCAGGAAACCAGTCCCTGTGCTCCTCAGAGTCCCAGATAGGGGTGTGACGATATATCGATATATCGCGATACTTTCTCCCGCAATTCGATTATCGATATGCATTTGCATTTTTTTTTACAATAAAAAGAAAAATTGGTATCAACTTAATATATGGCTACATTACGCATCTCCATTCCATTTATCAAGAAAAAAAGTGTATTTTTTCTTTTCTTTATGCCATAAATTGGCATATTGTATATTTCTGACCAATATGTCGATAATCGTCATATCGTGATTAAATCGTTATCGTGATATCCTTATCGTGATAATATCGTTATCGTGATAATATCGTTATCGTGAGCTTTGTATCGTGTATCGTATCGTATCGTGAGGTACCCTTAGGTTCCCACCCCTAGTCCCAGATGTACAGTACTTTGGTTTCGAGGCCATGGAGAGATTGCTTTGAAGTCTAATCTCTGAGCCACAGGAAGCCAAACTATTTTGTGGTTGGAAAGTTAGGTTCCCCAGCTTTAACTTCCCAACAAAACAAAAAACAATAAAGTAGTTGAGTTTTAGGTCGCTTCAGGCTTAGATAAACAAATAAGTAAAAATATATGACTTGTGGCAGCAATAATAGAAGTCCACAATCGCACCAAAAAGTTTAATTAAAACCAGTCTGTGCTCAGTGCTTCCAGTTGTTTTCACTCGTCAAATTCCTGTCTGCTCCCTGACGATAGTGTAGTTGGTGTTTATCTTTTAATTGGACTCCTGCCTTTTGTTTCGGTAGCCACACGGTGAGGAGGAGGACGGTGAGGAAGAGCGAGGTGCGAGAGATGCCAGTTCTGCCCAAAGGAGGAGGGGATGAGCTGGTGCGCGACGAGCAAGTCTCCAGCAGAAGGGTACTTTTCACATCCTGCTAACCTTTACCGCATTAATCCTATAACCGTATGCCATTGCCATCTGATGCGCTATATCATCTGTGTTTACGTACAGTATATAAGGGAAATAGTGGTCAGTGTTGTTCGTTGTTTTCTGCAGAGACAGTTAGAAGACTATTTGAACAAGCTGCTGAAGATGGCAATGTACCGCAAATACCACCATACTGTGAGTAATCCTACTAAACTTACCTTCTGAGTACCATAACAACCTCCTCCTAAGGAACAGTTGGTAACAAAGGTAATGTAATACATGTTGGAGTCACCTTTCTAATTATCGCTGGCTTCTAAATATCCCAATAATGATATATTACTTATAATTGATCCTATCTCCCCCCACTGCTTTACATTAAAGGACTGTTATACAGATTTTAATTATAATACTGTTTTCACACAAATCCCATGTTCTAAGGGTGTCAAATGGTCACTATATGCACTGAAAAAAGTTATGTAAAATAAGTTTAAAAAAAATTCAATTAGGGCTAAATGTATCTTACAAGATTTGCCAATGGGACAAGCTGAATCATCTGGTTTTAAAAATAAATATCTATAATATTAAAAGAAATAAAAGAAATATTTATAATATTATAAAAAAGCAAAAATGGATTTGTCTCTTTGGAAAATCTTGTTTTAAGGCAAATTAAGATAAAAACACTTGATTTAAGCAATTATTACCTCATATTTTATCACTTTTTGCAGTGCAGTAAATGGAGGCCAGCTAGTCTGAACTCCAACGACAACATTTCTATCTAAAGCTGGGGTTCCTAACTTTCAAACTACATACAATGGAAGTATATAATAAAATTCATCAAAGTCAAGAGTGCCAAACTGATTCCAGAATGGGCCGGGGTGGCTGCAGGTTTTCAGTCCAACCAAGCAGGAGCTCACCTCACTCCACCGGGTCTCACGTTAAGACTGCCGTCACTTGAGGAAATGGGTGGAGTCTGGTGTGCTCCTGCTTGGTTGGAATGAAAACCTGCTGCCACACCGGCCCTTTTGAGGACCAGTTTGACAACCCTGTTAGCTAGGTCCTCGCTCACACAGTTTAGCGCTCTTATAGTTTCCACATACATCAATTTTTGAGCTCCATTATGTATAAGTTCAGCCTTTTCAGAAAAAAAAGTAAAATAGGGAGAACCACTCTTGATCAGCTCGCAGCGCAAATATTTAAACATTGACTCACAGGGATTTTTCTTAGTATGCTACAGATAAAATGTTTTCTGAGGTAATAAGATAAGATAAACTTTATTGATCTCACAATGGAGAAATACTTATTGATAAATACTCTTCCTGTTGGGACAATTAGTATATGTCCTCTTTATATGGAAAAGTAATTCCTGAACTTAAGCCTGTGCAAACATGAGCCTATATTCCATTCATAACTGTAACATTTTGTCTTTAATATCTGTGCAAACAAAGCGAAGAAAGTATTTATCAGCAGGAGTTTGACGCAGTTAAATCTCTGTTTACTCTACACAGTCTGTTTAAGGTTGAAACATATCAACACTGTGTTTTTTGTAAACGTCTTGAGCTGAAACAGATGCACTGGTGCTGCTGGGAATCAACCTGGAGGGAATTTTGTAATTTATTGTAAACGTGCCAACTCCATAATTTGTAGTATTTATTGTCATTTATGGGGCTATGGTGTGTGGGCATTTTTTTACTATTGTTGCAAGTTTTCTTTCATAGCAAAATGGCCAATTGACAAATTTGATTAAGGTATTTTCAAGTCTACTAGTTTTTACTTCTTTTCCATTTCCTTTTAGAGTTTAGAGAAATACATTTGTAAATACTTATT